ATCTTCACATTTCCAAAAGTATTTTGGGGTTTATTTTAAGGCAAGTTCGGCTCAAAGGCAGGTTTCACCAAGGCCAACCAAGGTCGGTTTGGGTAGGGTAAACCCTAGACCCTGGAATCTGCCTAGGTGGGGGCCAATTCCAAAAATTTGGTACCAGACCCTACCCTGTAACAAATTGAGCAGGGTTGGTTCAAGCCCAGTTTGAGGTCGGTTCCATTCGATTCCAGGTAGAACCTACCCATTTGCTCACCCCTAGGGTAAATAAGTAAATATCCCAAAAAGAAAAATAATGAATGCAATTTAAAATTGGTTCTAGGACCCAAAACTTGCTAGATGTTTCATATTCAATGGACCACAAAATTAAGATCATCTAGGCCAAATTCCCAAAACACAAGCTTGAGTTGTTTTTTATTTTCTTTAGGGTCATTTACTAAAATACCCCCTATAGTTTCACGGATTTACTAAAAAGCTATGCTATAGTATGGAATTTACTAAAGCACCCCTTGTAGTTTGCAATTGATTTACTTAATCGACCTTCCATTAGATGGTAGTGGAAATGACACTTTCGACCCTTAGGCTATGTTTGGTTGCAGTTTTCACTAGTACAAATCCATGGGAGTGCAAATTCTTGTTTAATTTTGTTTTGGATTTTACTTTATTCTACTTCATGTCTTAATTTACTTCATATGTACTGAAATCAAACGAAATAAACTAAAATTTGAAACGAAATTAGGTCAGAATTTACACCCAAATCATTTGCACTGCCATGGCTTTGCATCAGTGCAAATTTATTTGCATCGTAACCAAACACAGCCTTATGTCCATTTGAATAAATTTAGTCAAAAGAAAATAAATAGGGGGTATTTTAGTAGTACATTTGTAATTTTTTTCTTTATTATAACTAGTGTAAGGGCATGCAACTATTAACCAAGTTTATTTAAATTTAAATTTTATGATTTGCACTAAAGGCTGTAGTTGGAAGCGATGTAAATCAAGAACTGATGTAAAATTTACATCGGTTCGGTTTTGTAGGCATTTGGAATGAGTGTGTAATTATGATCGACGTAAAACTCCACTCCAATTTAGATTTTTTGGTGCTTGGATGGAGTGGAGTTTTACATTGTCAATCGATATGAAACCTCATCAAGCATAAAAGTTTTACATTGATAATCAATGTAAAAACTACATCGATTTTATCAATGTAAAACTTTACACTTTTTTACACTGGTTTTCAAAATGTAATGGTTACCTATAAATCCGGTTCAATGTAAAACATCATTAGTGTACTCTTACACTGATGACGTTTTACACTAGATCCAAACGAAGCTGAAATGATGAAAAGTATCTTATTGACACTTGAAGGGAACCCACATACCCCACGAGCCAAAGCTGGCTGATCTTGCTTGTCAAATCCTCTCCGATCTAGTGTACTTACACCATTGCAAGATTGTGCATTGGCTCTTCCGACGTGGTGTCTTGATCCAGGGGAAGTCCGAGACGATGTTTCACTTCGAAATGACCGATCACCACGTCAAGTAGGTCGCCAACTGGGTCCTAGTCAAGTCGGTAGGGTCTTGAGGGAGGTCGCCTCTAATGCTGAGGTCCTTAGCTCAGCTATAATGAGGTCGCCGCTTGAGTCTTTGTCAAGTCGGTAGAGGTAGGTCGCCTCTTCTGCCAACCTAGTCCTACCGAGATCTTACGTCGTCAGGTCGGCGGAGGTAGGTCGCCAATTGAGTCTCCGCCAGGTCAGCGGAGGTAGGTCACTAGTTGGGTCTCTGTCAGGTAGGCAGAGGTAGGTTGCCTCTTCCACTGACGTAGTCCTGTCGAGATCTTACGTCGTTAGGTTATCGGAGGTAGATCGCCAGTTGGGTCTCTCTCAGGTCGGCGAAGGTAGGTCACCAGCTGGGTCTCTATCAAGGCAGTAGAGGTGTAGGCAGGTTGACCACCACGTCATGTAGGTTGCTACCTGAACCTCAGTCTGGTCGGTGGGAGGTCTCCCTTCGTGTCGTGATCTCAAGCTCGGTCCTGAGGTGGTCGTCCGAATCCTGACAAGGTGTCTACAGGTCAGCCATGGCGAGGTGGCGATGAATCACCCTCAAGGCGTTCGAGGTGCATCCGACGTGGTTCTGAGTAGGTCTCCGTCATTTTGGCTAAGGAAAGTCATTATCGACTTGGTGTCGGGGTGTCATGCGACGATTATAGGATCACCACATGGCGCACTATCACTAGAGGGCCAAATCTGACCTCGTCAATTTTCCCCCATTCCCGAGTTGAGGTCAGCTCGGCAAAGGGAGTAGTTTGATGCACGTCTCTGGCCCAAAGTGACAGTTCAACTGGTTTTTTCACTTTTTTTTTTTTGCATCGACCCAATTTGCTCGCCAGAGCTAGAAGAGCCTAAGGGCTAAATGCGGCACTAGGTAGAACATCACCATCTTAACCACCGGGTGCAGGAGGGAACTCATCAACACAAGGAGAGGCGCAATGGGCACTCCAAGGACATCTGCTAAGCTAGGGATGTAGGCATTGAGGAATTCTGTCATTCGCCCAAGTACCTCAATAGTGGAGTTCGTTGTGCCCGCCCTCAAGAAGGGCTTCAAACTATGCCATGCTTCCATAGGTCGCTCCACTCACAGACTTCTACACAATGTCCCTCAAGCTGGTCCTTGAGGGGGTGGCCGACAAGGTTGATGTGGAGCCCAAAACCGAAGTGGAGGATAGCGAAGAGGGCAATGAGAATGATGCCAAAGAGGGTGTTGTCAATGAGGGCGAGGACGATGTTGCATGTTTGAGCGAGCTGAGGTTCGCTAAGCRCAATTCAGTCATCTATTGCCATCGTGTTTTGAATAGGTCGGCTTGAGGGAGCCTTAATAAACGCAGTTTGGCTTCCCATTCGTAGATTATCGCCGAAGTGCGTGTATCGCGAGTCACCTCATCCAAGTCGCCAAAGCGGGTCTTAGTCAAGTCAGCAGAATTAGTCCACCTCTTACGCCAACATGACCTTGCCGAAATATTAACAAGCCAGTTTGCTCTTAGCACCTCGGGCTACACACAACTTGTCACCTCGGCAAGGCTGACCTGTGAGGGCAACTCCATAGTCTGTTGGCCATCAACTCCCACGAGAACCATATAGGTCTAACCTAAGGGGGCGGCTCCACAATCTGTAGGTCGTCAACAACCACGGGAACCATGGAGGGATCAACATGCATGGGCCGCTCCATGGTCTATTGGCTGTCGACTACCATAGAACCATGGAGTGCTCGACCTGTAAGGGCGGCCTCACAGTTAGTTGGTTGTTAACTCTCACGGGGAGCATGGAGGGCTCAACCTGTGGGGGTGGCCTCACAGTCAAGGCTACGAAATTCTATCCAGGCGAGACCACTAGAACATGTTCGGGCTGATCATTTTGATTCCTTTGATCTAAACGTTGTTGTTGTTGTTGCTTAAGGATGCCATTACTTTATGCTAAGAGAATGGGTGAGAACTTAGCTTTTGTGTAACGTGTTCCCACAAACGACGCCAATTGATGATGCGCGATCTGGTGCTCCCAACTAACAGACAGCTCGGACACTGAACTAAGTAGGTCGCCTAGTTGAGCTACAAATAAAGAGATCAAAGTGTTTAGGTTGCTTTACCTGGGGTGAGCACTTTGATGCTTAAATCAGCAAAGAGTTTTGAGAGAACTAAAAAGCAAGAGAGCTAGAAAGCTGTGAATGCTAAATCGCGTGTACCTTTTCTATGAATGGGGATGCCTTTATATAGGCAAGTTGCCTTGAGGCTCACGAACATGAAGCATGTCTCAGATCTTTGGCCCGTCTGGTTCGGAGGTGGTTTCACACCTAGAGATGGACTTCATGCCAATAGGTAGTGTCTATCTAGTCACGCCTGATGCGAGCGAGGTGATAATCGACTCTTCCGACATGGTGTCATGATCCCAAGGAAGTCAAAAACGATGTTTCACTTCAAAATGACCAGTTGCCAACTTGGTTGTGATGAGGTCGCCACCTGTGTCTTCGTAAAGTTGACGGAGGTAGGTCACCTCTTCTGTCGACCTAGTCCTATTGAGATCTTATGTTGTTAGGAAAACGAAGGTGGGTCACCAACTGAGTCTCTGTCATGTCTCTGACTGTCAAGATCTTACGCCATCAGGTCGGCGAAGGTAGGTCACCAGATAGGTCTCTATCAGGTCAATGGAGATAGGTTGCCAACTAGGTCTCTATCAAGTCGACGAAGGTGTAGGTAGGTTAACCACCACGTCATGCAGGTTGCTACCTGGACCTCAGTCTAGTCGGTAAGACCTTGGCAGGAGGTCTCCCTTCATGTCAAGGTCTCAATCTTAGTCCAAAGGTGGTTGTCCCGGTCTTGACAAGGTGTCTACAGGTCAGTCATGGCGAGGGGGTGCAAGGCACATCCAACGTGGTTCCGAGTAGGTCTCCGTCATTTTCACTATGGCAAATCATCGTCTATTTGGTGTCAGGGTGTCATGCAACAATTCTAGGATTGCCACATGGCGTTGTCACTAAGGGCCAAATCTGCCTTCATCAATACCATTTTTCCCAAAAAAAAAATGTTATTTCAGACCACACTTTCTAAGATGTGGTCTGTTGCAATGCTAAACTCAAAAGGTGTTTGGCATCAATGCTGGGAAAATCGCACCATTTTCTTAGAAAATCGATGTTGAGAATGTGGAGTTGTATGAAAAACATTGAATTTGACATTACTCCAAACTACACTTTCCCGATTTCCAAAGCGTGGGAAATCAGATTTAAGGTGAGAACGAGAATAAAAGGAATCTAAGGTGAATATGGTGATCTACTATTTGTTGATAAAATATATCTAGGGGCTTAGGAACTGCTAACTACCAAAGTCCAAAATAACTGCAAGCCTTGAAAACTCTTTTCAGTGGACCAACATAAATTGCCTTTGAATTTTATGAATTCTGAACAAGTCAATGGTCCATTCTAGCTTGGAGACATTGCAAGTGCATAAATTTCACATGATCAAGCAACAACCGCTTCCAATGCACCGGAGCCATCAAGCTCAAACTCTAAATTTTAGAGTCAAAGTCAATCCAATTGTTGGATGGTTGCATGATTGCATCCAAATTTCAGTAAGCTGTTTTACATGTCAAAGGGTGGTACAAAACTTAAAAGAGCTACTAGGCAATCAACCACTGCCAAGTATTAACAGTTGATGCATGACTAGCTCCTTAAAATTTTGGCCATGCTTCCAAAATAGCCAATGTGATTTATTTCAAGGAACTAGCCATTGAAGGCGTAGAGCCCATCAGTTGATCAGTTCAAATATGACAGACTGTCATATCACCTGTGTGCTCAATGAATCAACCATTGCGGCAACAAAAATAAGAGTCATGTTGTATCACTTGTTCCCTTCTCTTCAAGCAGTATAGCTCTCAGGATATGTATATATTAATAGCTTCTATTATTGCGGCAACAATCAGTTTCTGTACGAAGTTTCCTTCTGTCTGCTATTATAACTTCTAAACGACAGTTGGTAAGAAGACAAAACTATTCTCTCTCTACACTAATGTATGTGTAGCCCACGTTCCTATAATGCAGATTGGAAAACCATCTCCGCAAGCTCCTGCAACAGGGAAAGAGTCCCATTTAGATCGGATTTGAAAGAGAATAAGCTAATAATAGAGGGATTTGAGTCTAAATTACCTGCTTGGCAGAAGGAACCTTAGGTTCTCCCCATTCCATGGCCTTCGTCTCAAGGAATTCAAAATCAGCCTTCCCAGCCTGTTTGAATAAGCATATAAAACATCAGTGTAAAGAAAGTAAAGAGAAATCAGAGATTTTCCAAATATTGGAAGGTACTAACCTCTATTTGAGCCCCAATTTCAGTGTCAAAACTCTCATAACGCTTACGAACAAGCTCAGCCAAAGAACCATCCTTTTTAATAAAACGAATGAATCCAATCACAAATCAGAGAAAAAACAAATGCAGCTAAAAGAACAAATAAATACCAGGTCTATTGAGAATGAAAAAGCACTCAAACCTCTATCAACTTTGCAACATTTCGAAGCCCACGGGCCAAGGTATCCATTCCAGTTATATGAGCAATAAACAAGTCCTCAACATCAGTACTCTCCCTCCGTCTACACCACATACAATAAATCATAAGGTCAAGATTATCATAAACAAGAAAAGGATTAGAAGACCACAAAGAGAGAAATACTAACAATTTTGCATCAAAATTGAATCCTCCTGGTGCTAGCCCCCCCTGTGCATGGAAAGAAAAATTAAATGTATATATCTTAAATCCTGCTTGCATTCCAATACAAAATGAAGATTTACTAAATCAATGACCTACATTTCTAACCACACTGAGCATAACCATAGTTGCTTCTCCTATGTCAGTAAGGAACTGATCTGTATCCCAACCTGTGACACAGAGAACAAGTGCTTATTAGAACTTAAGATGTTTCATTTGTTTACTCAAAAGGAGGCAAACAAAACTTTCAATAAATGTAACATTGGATATAATCTAATACCTATCTGAGGATCACCAGTGTTAGCATCAATATTTCCAAGTAACCCATTGATTCTTGCAGTCTCAAGCTCATGGTGACAACTGAAAATAAGAATTATTTTGAGATTGCAAAGTTATAGCTATTCTGATCATGTATGCATGCATGCATGTATATTACTTGACAAGTTGGAAGTGAACGTACCTGTGACCAGACAAGGTGGCATGGTTGCATTCAATGTTGAGTTTGAATTCACCTGCAACAGTGGGTGGCAATGAGTTTTAGTGCCACGGGGTTACACGATGAAAAAAATTATTGATTGTACATTCCAAAATGTCCTTGTTAAACCATCTAAGATATTCCTAAAAGAAAACATGTGCATTAGTGGTAAATGCCAAGGCATGCAGAGTAGCCCCCTTGAATCATGAAAGCAGAAAACAAAGTTCACAACAAGTACCCATTTGAGAGGAGCTAAAGTGCAGTGGCTTCTGCCTTTCAGAGGTGGGCCCCACATGGGCAGAATGCCCAAATTGGCTGTCAGTCAGTCATTTGAAGGGCTGTCCACTTCAACCCCTTTGAATAGCTTATCTGGAATGCTTCAAAGAAGCTGAACCAACCTAGATGAATTTTCAGCTCAACCCTCCCAAATGGGCCTAAATGAAACTAAATAACAATTATAAAGGTAAGTAGGTATGTAAATATGTATGTATGTATGTATGTACATTCAAGGTTCAAAATATTGACCTGCACAATACCCAAAAATCAGGTATCATGTGTTTTGATTGGTTGATACTCTTTTTTTATTCTTCTTTTCAGTTAGTTATTTAAAAGTGGGTTTATTAGGATGGATATTAATGGTTGAGATTGTTAATATCCCTTAACTCTCAATATTTTGGGTTTGGGTGACCTTCGATACCGATATGAACAATACAATATGATATGTATCGATACTTTAAATCTTGCATATATTCATACCAACATAAAATTATGGACATGACACAGAACAGTGTGGCATGGCTGAATGTGATTCATGTAGCTGGTTACAAAAAATTTATCCTTTAACATTCCTTGTCTTAAGCTTAAGAGGGCTCAAAGCAAAAGGTACCAATATCATTTCCCTAATTACCAGAACAAGACATGGACCTGGATCGCTATCCCTAACAGAGTGCTTTTCACAATTAACCTTTTCCCCACCAATATCATTACCCTTTTTCCTTGTGGGTTGTGGGAGGAAGGCAGTTTCATGGAAACCATTTAAGAAGGCTCTGATACACCATGGTAAAGTGCTTTGGACCTTCTGATACATATACTGTAATGCAGGTTCACTCTAAACAATTTTCCATTTTAGGATGAGATGATAAAACCACCTTGCATGTTTATAAACGAACCTCATAGGAAAGCCACAAATCAAAGTTTATTTTACACCATAAATAAACTGCACGCAAGGAGGATTGTCATAACTATTGTTGTGGCAGCAACTTGGAAAAGAATAAAATTCATCAAAAAAAAACTTGGAAAAGAATAAATGAAATAATCATAAAGGCCAGGAGCACCATTAGTTGTCACTCTTAAACATGCAACAGCTATGATTATCATGTCTATTCAAGTACCCAAATTCAGGATATGTGCAAAGATGATACTCAGACAAGAACATTCTTTGGCTTTTTTCAATCGCATGAGTGTCTCACCTTGTCTGTTACCAACTAATTATCCAAGTTCTAGTCCAAGATAACTCTGTGAATACTCCAAAATCAGAAAGTCCAATCAAGAAACTAACAACCCATCCTCAGCCAATAACTATGATCAAAGAGTTTTTAATGAAATCAGAAAGAGGGAGAGGCCACTGCCTTTGGCCTTGAAACACAGCATAAGCTAAAGATGACACTCAGCATAAAAAATTAAAAAAAGAAGGTCAAAATACAAATCAGCCTGAGTTGTACCCTTGGACTTGGTGCTGCCCAAAGAAGAGTGATTCTACACATATAAACAAGGGTAATCATGGGGATGACCAGGTCGGCCCTGGGGATGTATGCATAAATACAATATGTAATTGTCCCAAAGATCTCTTCCACAAGAAAGCTTCAATTACTACCTTATAAAAATACAACATCACTTCAGGTACCAAATTAAGGTATATGGGATTTCTTCTCTACTCTGTTTTACTTTTGCATATAAGAATGGGCCAACAAACAAGAGAAAATATACCTTTTACATATCACAAGAATAGAGAATGGATGAAGAGGTATTTGTTTAATTCAATGAAGAGAAGAGGTAAAAACAAAATGAGGAACAAAAGGCTTAAACAAGTTGATGGTTCAGAATTTCCTAATAAAGTCTACAACCCAACACATCAGGCAGTCATTACACCAAGGCTACAATTTTAGGCAACAGAAAGAGTAAATACTTCATTCAGCAACGTAACTCTTATCCGATCTGAAAATGACTGACATAAAAGAAAATATAAAGTTCAAATAATTCTAGCCAATACTAGTAAAATATCAAGTTTAAAAAGTCTTTTAGAGCTGAAAAGAAAAACAGTTAATCCAATTGAACTTAATTATATAAACAGAATAACCAATGGTAATAAAGTGGGAAGTTGAGGATTACCTGAAAGATTATATTTCCGTAGAAATCCAGCTGTTGTTGCAGCATCCCAGTCATACCTGACATAACATAATCAGATGTAAACTGAAACAACAAAACTAAAAAAATAAAAAACAAACAGTATTTGTTTGACAGATGGTGCATACTGGTGCTTGGTGGGCTCTTGGGGCTTGGGTTCAATCAGCAGGATCCCTGGAAAAAGGCAAGAAATAAAAAGGAAAAAAATAAACACTTGATATAATTAAGAAAACCAAAAAAACTCAGTAAATTTGGTGGATGATGCAAGTAAAATGAAAGACGAGTAAAAGAATTAATAGTGAATGTCATACAGGTTTAATCCACTCAATATTATAAAATGAAAGATGAGTAAAAGAATTAATAGTGAATGCTATACAGGTTTAATCCAGTCAAATTATTTTGGGGGGAAAGATATGATAATCAAGCCGAGTTTAACTAAGGTGCCATTCAATGAGAAAGGTGGTGTTTGGTGCGTCTTTTTGGCACGTCTTTCAGCCTGCAGGAAGCACAAAAGACCGAAAAATGGTCTTTTCCTGTTTGGTATCACATAGACCAAAAGACCTGAAGACAAGCACACAGAAGGTGGTGTTTGGTGCGCCTTTTTGGCACGTCTTTCAGCCTGCAGGAAGCACAAAAGACCGAAAAATGGTTTTTTCCTTTTTGGTATCACATAGACCAAAAGACCTGAAGACAAGCACACAGAAAGACAAAAAGAGCCAAAAAATCAAAAAGCTTCACATGAAGCTTTTGGTCTTTCCATGCTGAAAATAGCCTTCCCGGCTGTGCTTTTAACAGCCCAGTAGACCACAGTGCAAACCAAACAGTCTTGGTCTTCAAAGACAAGACACCAAAAGCTCAATGCATTTTCTCATCTACTGGGCTGTTGAAAGATCTACTTAGAAAGACATGCCAAACAGCCCCTAAGCATTTTGGCCAGTCAAGCTGAGCCATTGCCTAGGTTGGGGGCTTACTGAGGCAACATTTAACTCACTGGAAATTTCAGCTTAATAACCATCTGGCATATCATATATGACAAAAGAAAGTACTCAAAGCAAAGTATTCATTTATGGGCAGTTACTTATATGATGAAATTTGGAATTGTGAGAAAGGAAATTCATCATAAAAATTTTGGCCAATATAGTAGGAAAATAAAAAACATGTTCAATCCAGAAAGTCCTCTATCTAATGGACAATTGACATTTACCCCATGTTGCATGGACTCTCCTTGCTTATTTGACATAAATAAACAACTACCATACATAATGAATACCATATTTCCTATAAAACAGTATTAAATAACAAAGATTAACTTTTAAAACATTTTCTGTAGGTATGTAACATTACAATTCAAAAGAAAGTATGGGCCATTTTAATAGATTATACTTCTCTATGGATGTGCCTGCGTCTTTATTTTCTAGTCTAGCCAAGACAATTTCCTAGTCATATCAGATCCTGATTCCTATGTCCATGCAACACTGCATTCACCAAATCATCCCTCTAGTTATCACCTAGAAAAGAGACCTAAGTGACAAGTTAAAACAGTTCCACTTTTATTTGGCTTTTCTACATGAAGTTGCAAAATTAACTACTCCATGTATGAGAAAGAACAATATCCAAAATGTACCATTGAATCCTATCTTCTTCTTGTAGGCAACAGCAGCTTCCAGAAATCTTGCCTGTGAAAACCAAAAAGTTTTGTCAAACAGGATAAGTAGAAAAGAAATCCAATATTATCTGACAAGGAAACGAAGTACAAATACTTTGGGGATTAAATGACAACCTGATGGTACTCACTAAAATGTAAGTTATAAAAACATCAAGGTAGAATTGCAAAGAAGAAGAACAAAATTTGTCATGTTAAGCAACACACCATGTAACCTTACCAAGTGGTTAAGTTCTCTTTCCATATCTGTATTCAAAAGGGTTTGATAACCCTCCCGACCACCCCAGAAAACAAAATTTTCTCCTCCTAGATAATGTGTAACCTATGGAAAATGTAAACAGCATTTAGTACAGAAGAGCTATAAGTATTAAATGGAAATAAAAAATAAAAAGAAAATTAAGTACCTCCATTGCTTTCTTGACCTGAGATGCTGCATATGCATAGACACCTACTTCAGAGCTACAAATCCAGTACCAAAGCCATGCTGAAGGTTAAATATACAGAAGGAATATCATATCAACAAAGGCAGTAAGCAAATACATACCTTGTAGCAGCTCCATGCATATAGCGTGGATGCAAAAATAACTGTGCTGTGCCCCACAAAGGACGGATTTTAGACCCCTGCACAGACATTTTCATTAATGTAGTTAGAAGCAGAGCAAAAAAAACTAATATTAAGTTAAGGCATGTAGTATTACCATCTATCAAACCACAAGTTTGCCATATATTAAAGAGTAGGTTGTAGCTTCGCTATTTTTCTGTATTTTCTTATAAGAAAGTCATGAGATACCACATTAACCAAAAGTGACAAATCACAGTAAGTCAGTAAGCAAGATGTGTTTTTCACAAAGATACAAGCTCTCTTCTTTTCTTTCTAATCACTTAATAGAGATTTAGAATAAAGTGATGGTAACAGAAAAAAGAAGATCCAGAAGGCATAGATGATGTTTGGTAATGGTGTACTGACCTCTGCTTTCTATGATCATGCTTTGACAAAATCATTAATCATAGAAATCCCATATAAGTGCCCCATATAATCTATAATATCTGATTCCTGTATATTTCAATTTTTAGTGTAAATTTTTTTATCCAATACCAAATCCAGCCTGTACCTTTGCAATATCTGGGAAGCATAGCATATAAAATACATTTATCTTATAATGTATTATATCACATTTTTTAATAGTAAAGATAAAATTTATAGAAATAAAAGAGAACGTACAAAGAAGGTGATAAGAAATTACTCAAGAGAACAAACCACCTATAAATCCCTAAATCCCACACAACCACCCCATCACTGGGACACCAAACAGGCCACCGAATAACCACAACAAAACCTAAGTCACTAAAGAATCAAGAAATAAATTCCTTTAAACTAACACAACACCATCTTAACACCCCCCACCCACCCAAGAAAAATAAATAATAAAAAAACCCCAAGACCCCTACTAAAAAAGCACAAATCAAAACTTACATAAACCACCTATAAATCCCTAAATTCCACACAACCACCTCTCCATTGGCACACCAAACAGGCCACCAAAAAACTACAACATAACCTCCATCACAAAAGAAAGAAGAAATATATTCCACTAGACTTACATAAACCATATTAACTCCCCCCCCCCTTCGCCCCAAAACCCCTACTAAAATCAAAATCAGCAACACCAAGACATTTAGGCATCTTTTTTCTTCCATGTCATCATCCTGCTCCAGAAATGACCCATCATCAGCAACCTGATCTCTTGTCTTCAGTTCCAACTTCTAAGAAAGCTCTTCTAGCAAATTCATTCCCTCCCAGGATAAAGAAAAAGCCCCAGCATTTTACTAACTTAGACTAGTTGGACTTCCTCACCAATCACCTTTTCTTTACCTACTTAACTTGATCAGCAAACACCTCAACATCTCCCCTTTCTTCCCATGGTCACACTATCAACTTGTTGCTTCTCCTTATCAGATTACAATAGGGCACTGACTTGGGTGGACTCAGGTTGGAATTTTGTTAAAATTTGAATGGGTCCAGCCCAAAATCCCAGGCCCAATGCAATGTGTAAATTCTTCAATTCGGGTACCAACTTGCACCCCTAGATTTCAAGAATCAATTGTAGTCCTTCACCACCTTCCTCTTATCATCATCATCATCATCCAAGCCTTATCCCAACTATATGGAGTTGGCTACAGAATCATACTTCCCCATTCTGTTCTACACCCTTCCTCTTATAATTATAATATACTACATTAATGAAGTGTAATTATAATATACTACATTATATACATTGAGAGAGAGCCCTTTTTCAGTGATCACAGAATCCATGCAAGCTGTTTCTTTCAGATTTTTTTCCTTATTTATATTTTTCCAACACTTGGCTTATCAGTGTCAAAAGAAGCTACAATGATAGTTTATTAAATAATGCTCATGCCAGCATACTCCATAAGTGAAAATTAATAGGAAAAAGGAAAGACAAATACTTGTATCTTTTAAAGATGGTTAAAAGTGTAATCACTTTAATGAAGTGTAAAGTTATAAACTGAAACCAGGATAGTTTCCATTTAACCACATAACATTACCTGAAGCTCTTTTGCAAGCTCTACCACCTCATCCAAGTTTGCATTAGCTTCCTGACAAACATGGCTCATTTGTTAATAATACACTATAAGAAAAATGAGAAAAACTAATGAAATCTTGCAAAGATAACATCTTTATCAAGTAAAAACAAACACTATAAATTCATATATACAATTAAATCCTTTAGAAAAAAAATATAACACTATTTCAAGTATTTCAAAGAGACCTGTTCTTGTTTCCTTTTCTTTTTCTATCTCTCATTTACCAGACTGAAAAAACAACAATGTATTTACATAAGATCAGTTAACGTCCACTCACCTCAAGGGTTTTACCATCTGGTGCAATATCTCTATCATGGAAGCACCACCTATCAACTCCAAGCTTGTTAATAAATTCAAAGTTGGCTCTCACTACATCATCAAACCAATGAAACATTAGATACCTCAGCATATCACTCCATAACATACAGAATTGGAGTTATATATAATGATAGTCAAAATGTTCATCTTACTTCTTCTTTTGGCCATTGCTAATGAATTAGTACCATCTTCCCATGGCCAAAGCTTTGTTGGTGCTCCAAATGGGTCAGCTCCTGTTCCACGGAATGTGTGCCAAAATGCAACGCTAAATCTCAACCAATCCTGTGATGACAAAAGACGCTGTCAATCATAACTCACACAAAAATCAAGCAAAAAAGAAAAAGAAACCAACCTTCATCTTCTTCCCAAGGATCTCTTCATTGGCATTATACCATTTAAAAGCAAGTGGATTCTTGCTAGATGGACCCTAAAAATTGAAAGAAAGAATTAAAGAAAATACTTTTGAGCCATCAATTACCCAAGGAAATAAGAACATGAAAAATAAAATAAAATAATACTGTATAAAACAAAAAAAATAAAAATAAAGTAATACTATACCCTAAGTAAAAGTGGGGGAACCAACCACATTTTTTCTGTAACTTCCAATCATTTACTATGATAGAAAGAGTAGTGTGTGGAGGCCAAGGGTCCTCTCACTACAGGCCTCACAGAGACTTCTTTCTCCTCTCATTTCTCACACACATGTGGATATCTATTTTTAAACTAAACTATTAAAAATATAAGAAGCCATAATAAAATCCCTCTTAGGTCTTAATCTCATCTAATAAAACCCATCATTACTCTCTCTAATAAGTAATAACATCATCCTTAAATCCCTACAATAGTTAATGTTTTGTAACATCTTCCCCTTTCCTTCTTTGCTCTTAAGTTTCTCTTGACCCTTCTTGACTCTGTTAATGAAGCGGGCACATAAATTAGATGGGTTGGATTGGGTTAAGAGCCAACCTAAGACTAACCCTAGACATGAACCTTGACTTGGACCCAAACCTAACCAAATTTCTATTCAACCCCATACATTGCATGGATTTAATTGTTAATTTCTCGTAAAATATGGGACTACGAAGGTCATACCTCATACTTGATTTTAGGAATTCCTGGGAAGAATTCCCCTTCCCATTCACCTGAATCACTGCCGCTGCATTCAGTAATATGATCGGCAGGGCAAGTTGGTGGACCAGTGGCAATCTACAAGAAAACAAACACTTTGTAAGAAAGAACTAGTAATTAATGCATGGAGCAACACAAGTTTTGAAGCAAAGATTTAAACATAAAGCAAGCTACATGGATCTTACCACCCCAAAGCACACCAGATTCAAACAGAGAAGCAGCAAAAAGAAAGCTCCAGACTTCATTCTTTTTATTTCATGCAAAGAAACTCTGCAACAGGCACAAAAATAAAACAAAATAAATTATTAACACAAACATCAGTAGATGTCTAGATCAACATAATCAAAACAGACCCAACCAGTTTATACAGAGTGACTCCTTGAACACCTAGAGAACAAAAATCATCAACATAGCACAAAGTACCGCATCCTTCGAAACTAAGACTAATTAAAGAACTTAATAACAAAAAAAAAAGAAGCATTTTTAAGAATATACCCATCTTTCCAAAAGAAGGCATGTTTGACCGGCATGCAGACAATGCAGAACAACAAAAGGTACATGCAGAACAGAACACACATAAAAAATAAAAATAAAAAACTACAATCTAAGAATACCTATCTTTCCAAAAAGACAGGAAAATAAAGTAAAAAGAGGAAAAAGAAAAGACACACAAAAAAAGGTATGGAAAACCAAGAAGGACTGAATGCCAGTAAGCAGAACAGCCGATCCAGATCCTAAACCCTATTCAACACAGTTGGAGCCTCAATACCAGCTATCAAAACCGGTTCCTGGGTACCCACAAGGGTACCATCACTTCACAAGGCGATAAAACATCATCTAAGGTATCAAACCAAAGAAGAAAAGAAAAACAGAGAAGTATATTTACCTTTGATGGTTAAAGGAAGTGCAGAACGAGATGGAGATATGGAGACAAGAGACTCGAAACCCAGCGTTGATGGGTTATATACGGGAGAGGGATAAACACAAAGAATTTTAATTCTCAAGGAATAAAAATCTTCCAAGAGCTAAATTTCGGGATTTTTTTCGCAGATGAAAACAGAAACTCAAACAACATTACAACATGAAACCGCCGTAATTAGAAAACGTCGCTCTTATCCATTCCTCTATAATCGGATATATTTATCTTATTTTTATAAATAATTAATAAGGAGTCGCCATTGCCAGTATATTCTCTTTTATAATCGGATATATTTTTATAAATAATTAATCACCTCCTTTGAAATTTTTAATATAATTGCAAGTATATTCTCTTTGTTAGAAGTTAGAACTCTCTAAAAAATATCTATGCAAGTACTTTTGATCAAGATATTTATTTTCTAAACTTTCTTTTCATATGAATTGCTAGTCTAAACTATTTTAATCTTTTTTATGAAATTGATTTATTTTCCAAATTTGTCCTTCATATCAATCACTTAAAAGGTAAAACTGCAACTTTAAATTCTCTATTTTGTTGTTTATAAAGTTTATATTGATTTTTAGATTTAGACCAGACTCAATAGTAATTGTAAGGGTATTTTAGATATTTTTCCGCCTCTTATTAAGAAAGGGGATCTACTAGCAACTGTGTCAAAAAGTTCAGAGGAGATGACTGCATTTACCAAACTTTAGGGGAGATTTCAGCAATGGTGAGAAACTTCAGGGGAGGTTTAGCAATTTACCCAAAAAAAATGAGACTGTTGAACTAATAATGACTTATTACTGTATTTAATAGATAAAAGTAATCCATTTGATTCACGGGAATGGGATTTGGAATTGAAATGTCCAACAATTTAATTGGGTGGAATTGGAATTTGATTCTCATTTCTGATGAAATGGCATTCTCCCATTTGAGGGAAGAGTCAATCCATCTAACGAGAAATTGAAAATCTCAATAGATCAATCCGATTCCAATTCCAATAATTTTCAATTCCAATTCCAACTACAAACCAAACTGACCTTTATATTAAGAATTTATCTAATGATCTATTCATTAAAAAAATTCAATTCAGCCACTTCAGTCATTCTCTCTCCCTGAATATATTAAGAATCTATCCAATGATCTATTTATTAAAAAATTTCAATTCAGCCACTTCAGCCATTCTCTCCAAGGGGCTGTGTGAAACAGCTGAAGTGGTTGAACTGAAAAGATCAAGGAGGTCTTGAGCTCCTATAAATTTGTAATAACTGGACCTGAAGGTCGATTGAGTACTATCAATGAAATATTTTGTTGTTTAGGATAAATTGCTGAAACCTTCATTGAAGTTTCTAGTTGTTGCTAAAAAAAATCATGAAAACACCCACACAATTACATTTAGGGGGCATTCTTGTTTTTGGATTTTGAGAGGGGGAGAGTTGGTCAATGGGATTTTGGTTCCCATTGACCAAGAATCTCATGTTCTTTTTTTTTAGATTTATGTAGGGACCAAGGAAAATTTATTTTTTTTGGTATCACTTACCTATATCCTAAATGGGTAAATAACTTTCTCCTTTAGGGGGAAAGTTACCAAAACTTGAATGAGACAAAAATGCATTTTTTAATAATAGATTTTTATAGTTAAAATGGTCATTATCTTATTTACATGAGAAATAAAAGAGCTTGAGTAAATGTAATTACCCGGGTAAGTTTTTCCTACCCAAGTAACTGCATTTACCCAGGTAAGTAACTTACTGAAAAGCGAACGGCGCCTTAGCAAAAATATTTATTTTCCAAATTCTCTTCATATGACTCATTACTCCAAACCGTTCCAATCTCTTTCCTAAAATTGATTTATTTTTTAAATTTCTTTTTATATCAATCACTCAAGGATAAAAAGCTGCAATTTAAAACCAGCCTCAATAATAATTATATATCTATTTTAAACATTTTCATCCCTTTTCTAAAAGATTCCACCAAAAGCGGGTCAACTCGCAACTGTATTAGAAACTTAAGAGGAGGTTTAATTATTTAACTAAAAGTTTAAAAGTTTAGGGGAGGTCAGGGAGGTTTCAGCAATTTCCCCTTTTATTTAATTATTTTATTCATCGTTAAAAGAAAAGACAAATCAACAAATGAATTCAATTCGGCAACTTCAAGGTTTTCCTATTCTCCACGTCACAGATACGTTGTTTTTTACATTTTTCTGAATGCAGCTTGGTTTTCATACGGTGCTTTATAGCGATGTGATAAATTAATAGATCACTCCTTCACATCCATGGCTCGTGACGTGTGATATGTGGCCAAACCTCTTCATAATGGAAATCAAATGAATTACGGCAAGACTCAAGGAGTAATAAATTATTTCAAGGGTCCCACTTTACGTACGAAACCCACCAAATCACAATCTTAGAGGTTCTATCATTTTAAGAGAGATGAGTATAGATATATTAATTAATGACTTGGAAGGATTTTTGAGTAATTGAAACTGGCAAGCTGCAAAGAGGGCGACCCCACCAGAGAAAAATGGAAACAGAGAGTCTGATTTTTATTTATTTATATTTGTATTTCGGATAAACATAGAGAGCCTGATTTGTTACGATAAAAACTTTTATTGCTGCGTGGGCACCCGGTCAGCAATTTGACAATACCAGTGATTATCTTTAAAAAAATAATAATAAATAAAAAGAACATCTTTCTTTTCCTTCTTAATACTCAAAAGAATAACTAGTGTTCGATCTCCTACCCATACATCACTACAGTAGCATATTGAGAATATCTCTCATATTTATATATTACCATTTATGGGGGAGATGTTCTTAATGTACAGCTATAGTGTCTTGTGAGTAGGAGATCTGGATTCAAATAATATAATWACATTTTTTAATTTTAAGGACCAGTGAGGACAGTGCAATGTATCGGCTTTGTTAAAAGAAATCATAGCAAAAGGAGCCTTGTACTATTTTTAGTTGGACCTAGCAAGATCAAGTCTAACCCCAACATTATTTTTGAGTTATGTATTGTTAGGTAAATTTGTGTTAATTTTCATTCTTTGTCTTAATTTTTAATATTTTTATTACATTTTCTTAATGTTATTACTCTTAAATGGGTTTTCCAATTATTTTTAAATGGATACTAGGGAATTTTAAATTAATAATGATAATAATAATAATTTTGTTAACTTTTAAATTTTATTAATCAATTTATAGTAGTATTTAGTTTATTAATTTTTTACAAATTTATTGTTTTAAATTAGATTTTATAAATTTATTATTTTAAATGGATTTTGATTTAAAAATGTTTAATTTACTAATTAGATTTTATACATTTTATAATAATAAATATAGTCTATTAATAACACTTCATTCTTATATTACTTTTTTTTTCACTACTAACTTCATTGTTATTATCTTACTAAACTAGTACGTTAGGTACTCGTATGATGCACAAGCTTTATTAAAAGAAATTCAAGTAGGAATCATATAACATTACCAATTAATTAATTATAATTCATTTTAAAATATATTATTATTAAAGTTTTATGTTATTGTTAATTAAGTTTACTTTTTATTAATGTACATTTTTAAATAAAAAATAAATGAATATTGAAATTTATTAAATGAAATTTTAGTAACAATTATAATATCACAAATAATTTTTAATTAATTTTGAGATTTTTATTAATTAATATAATTATAACTTAATTTATAACGAACATAATTATTTTTATTAATTAAAATTAAAAATCACATTCTTTTTTGTAGTAACTAAATCATAATATTATTAGCTTATTAGATTAGTTAATTAATTTATGTAATAATATATAATGGTATCACTATTTGAATAAATATGGAAATACAATTTAATGAAATTTTCTTGATTAACTAATTAGTTATTGATTTAATATTTCATAAATTACAATTATTATAATTTTATTAGTTAATTTTAAAATTTAAAATTAAGTTAATTATTTCATATTGGTTTAAAATTAATTTTAGGATAAATCATATCCCTTAAACCTCCACTAGGTTTTCTAGAAAAGGTCTTAAATCTCCCCTCAACTTGGACCAACCCTTAAACCTCCCCTAACCTTTGTGGATAAAGGGACTTAAACACACCTTAATGTTACTTTAACGTCAGAAATATAACAAAAGCCACTGATGTTTGATGACTGAAATACCCTTAAAATTTTAACAAAAAAAACCTTTAAATCTTTAACAAAACTAAATAAATTACACTTAAACCTCTCTTTACCCCAAAAGCGGGTTTGTTTGTGTTGTAAAAAATGAAATGCTAAAACATATTTACTCGTATTAACAATTTAAGGGTAAAGAAATTAGGAAAAATCTACATGAGTTAGTATGGGCATAATAGATATTTAATGTCTCTACCCATTAAAAGCAATGAAAGGGGTCTATAAATCCCTTTATCCCCAAAAGTCAAGGGAGGTCAAGGGCAGGTGGGGAGGTTTAAGGCCTTTTCAAAAAACCGAAGGGAGGCTCAAGGGATTTACCCTTAACTTTAAAGTGTATATTAATGAAGTTCTTTAGTAATTGGGACATGCACTACATCTAGGACTCATAACATGGGTCTTTGTCTTGGAACTGGGATCCATACTACATATAATATAGGGGTGCAAGTGAGGGGGGTTTGGCTTCCTAAGAACTGGGCCTAAGGCCGGATCCTAGATCGAGCCCAAGGCCAAGCCTGAATTATTCAATTTGGGCCCAACCTACACTAAAATTTGATGCACTTGGGTTGAGATCAAACTTGGGCCAGGCTCGTGTAAAATTATAGGCTAGGTTGCTTTATTCTCATGTTAGGCTTGCCCAAGTTGCACCCCTAATATAGTACCTATATATTGTATGAGTTGATCATACAATATAAGCCCATATAAGCCTAACCAAGAAATTCTGTTTAGGCCCCATTCAAGTTTGATGCGGCACGATCCGGGCACTCCTATTTGACTGCTGACTGGCTCCTTGTTGGCAATGGACGACACCTGAGAAGAAGAAGATGAAGGATTCTCAGGGGATTTGCCCGGCGGTAATACTCTGAAGCTTAAATTAGAACGCTGGGGGAGAAAGCAAAGAGTGTAAAAGGCTAAGAGTATAGGTTGCACTAGATCACCGAGTTCTCAAGATTAGCTCGAGAGCAAGTAAGTTTTCAGATAGGATCTCCGATGTTCGAGAGAGA